TCCAAACAAAATTAAGTTCAATTTCTCTGTTCCAGTAGTTCTACTTCCTGACAAAAATGTCATAACCAGAAAAAATCCCAGACTTAACAGGACTATGATCATGAGAGTAAACACCCAGGGACTGCAGGTATTTGTATTACAATGAAAATTAAAAATAATACTAATAATTAATCAAGGCAACGTCTCAGCTAAGCCACAACCTAATCAAAGTTTTGAACATTCACAAAATGCAGCTCACTAGCAATGTCAGCAACACAAGTAACACAAGATCTGACAGCTGCCAGATAAACACTCCCTCAGAACATGGATGGATAGCCCTTAATAGAAATTTCCTTACGTACTGTGATCAAGTCAAATCCATCTTTTTAATATCAGGGTTTTCTTCAAGTTACATTAAAGATCTGGGTTATCCTAGGAAAGCTCAGTCTAATATTTATTAGAGAACACAAAAGTTTATGCAGAGAAATAAACTAGCATTAAATAAGTGCCAATCTTAAAGGCTCCATATGATGAAAAGCTATCTTTCCAAATCTTTAGCTTTAATTCTCACCCACTGGTAAGGTTCAATTGAGCTATTTTCAATAAATGGCTCACTTCACCTCTCAATATCAGCTGGTCAGTGGATACCAACAGGCAATCAGCTGCTAAGGATCATCCCAAAGCTGGACCAGAACCACAATGAAGTACAGAATATCAGCACAACACATCACTGAGATGTGCTATTTCAGCAAATAAAAAAGGTGAGGTTATCCAGTGACTGTCTTGGAAGGAGTTTAATACATTGATTTTCTTCTGAAGTCCCAGCTATCTCTCTCTCCAACACACTTCCAGTAGCACCCATTTGTTGTTAGCTTCTGATTTATAGCTTGACCAAAATTACTGGTGGCATCAGCAGGTGGAGGACAGCTAGATTCACACTGAAGTCAAACACGAAGTTATTGAGCAAACTTTGAATTATTCCACATGAACAAGCAAGCCTTTTTGGCCTAACTGAAATAAATTTTAGAATTAAGTATTTCAGACAAAAGACGCAACTGCAAAAGTGGGTTTGGAGGACAGAGAGAACAAAAGTCTTGTTTTATATATTTATATGTGTGTGTGTATATATATATATATATATATATATATATATATATATACACACACATACACACTTCACATACACACACAAACACATACATCTTCGAGACACTGCAGAAAGGGGATGGTATCATTAAAACATCCATAGCTGGTACAGCCAGAGACATTAAATCACTCTGGAAAAAGAAGATTAAAAGACAGAAGGCTGGACACATAGGAAGCAACACAATCTAATTCCTTAACAAATTCTTTAAGGGTGGGGTGACAGCTTCCCCCCCTTCCCAAAACCAGGTGACATGTCTAGGAAAACAACTCATTCTCAATTTCATACTAAGAAGCACAGAAGATACAGTGGAGAAAAAAAAAAAAAAAAAAGAAAAAGACTCAACACATGCAGGTAAAAGGTAATAAAAGGTAATTAGGGTGACTGTAGTCATAGGTTTGCAATGCTAATGAAGTGCTTTTTTTTTTTAATAGTCTCTTGGAAAAGAGGAGTGTCTAAGAACCAAAGCAAAAAACCAAATACCATACTAGCTCTATAGCCAGAAGCCACACAGCCAATAATCATGGCACTGCGCTCATACCTACACGACTTACCACAGGTACAAAACCAACACAGCTCCACCTCTTTCAAGACTTAAGCAAACATCTCAGAGCACACGGAAGCATGTGGATTTATCAACATGACAGACAATTTGTCCTGCCTAATATGTTTCATTGTATGGCATAGTATTATAGGTACAGCAGTAAGTGGTTCTGCTGCACAAAGGACAGAAAGCCTAGTAAAAGACCAATTTGATTGCATATGATTCTTTTTTTTTTAATTGCCTGTAAATTAAAGGGACACAAAAAGTTGGTGCATAGTGATTGCTAAGGTAAGCAAGTAATCCAATTAACCACTAGTAACACCTGATATATGTAATAACTTCCACTGGAATCCATAGGATAATTAGCAGAAACTCTGTAGTAGAAGAGATTGTATGCAAGTGAGGACACTTCCGCAGCTGAATAAGTAACACAGACACACGTGTAGTGATTAATATCTTAGAATAACTCAAGTAGTAGATTTCAACTTTAAGCTCTAAGTTAGGAAAACATGGCATCCAAATCCATGATGAACATCTTTGTGATCATCAAAATCTCAGAGAAGTTGTACGAGGATCATATAGCTTACTGTTTTTGTCATTTAAGGAAAAAAAGTAACTCAGCAAACAAGAAGTTAGAAATATATAAGAAATAATAATTAAAAGGGAAAGAGAAAACTGAAGCAATTTTTAACTTGTTATCAACAATTTTGGGGGCTGAAATCATAGATTAATTTTGAAATAAGAGTAATAGAGATAAAGAACTCACAATTATGTGCTTAAATTTAAATGGATAAAAGCCTATTTTTCAGAATCACAATCAAACAAAATCTATAGTCTGAAAGCCAAGGGAAGAATTAACTGAGTAATAACGGCAGCTTTTAAATCTTGCCATCCACCTCATTAGCATCACGAAGGACACTGGAAAGTACAAGTCAAGATCATCTTCAACATGCTGCTAACACCTGCAGTATCAAGTGTCACTTGTCATACTCAAGACAGGTCCAGATAGCACTGAAATAAAGGTGTGTGCTCCAAGACAATACTGAAAATCCCCTTCAGAAGCATTCCATTTCTACATTTCTCATGCTGACAGCCAAAGGAGCTGTGCTCTCCAGATATGAGAATTAATTTTCCCTGAATGGCTCTTTGTTTGCTTATTATATATTCATTCTTTCAAGACATGAACCACTCACTTTGACTGTAGAAACACCTCTCTATCAAGGAGAGACTTGATAAAATGCTTTTTTGTTTAAGTCTAAAACCTAGGCACAATGTAAAGATATCAGAAACTATTCACTTGAAATATAAACAAGAGAACCAACTAATGAATATTCAAACCCGAATTTTTAACTTCCATACCAAATGAATCAACATATTCTCTCAATTCCAGTCAAGTCAACTCTTCAAATTTTGGACAAGTGTCATTTCAGTTTCTTACCTCTGATGCAGCACCTTTTCTGCTAAAAGATTTATTTCCTTCTTACACTTTCAAAAATATTTTGCTTAAAAGAAAGATCAAAAATTTTTATGAACGCATAGTAGAAAAGACAGACTCTGTACACAGAAGTCCACACACAATCTGCAAAGTGAATCAACAAAGTCAAAACTAAGTATAACCAAGGTAGTCTGCGCAGTGCAGAGACAGTCTGTGCCCAAAACAAAGTGGTGTTCTCTCCAGTGTGACAGCAGCAACGTCTGTAGTCAAGGTTAAGCATTTTATCGTGTTGTTTGAGAAACATAGAAAAAGACAACAACTGGAAGGGCCCAGCTGTTTCCCAATCTGTACAGCTGCTCTTGTAAGACTCCTGATCAGAAGTTCCAGCAATATGTGCTTGTACTGCAACTTTTGATGAGGGTCTCCGGGTTCAACACACAATGACACACCGTTTGGCTTCACACACGCACATGGCAGATCCCTTAGACTTAGAAATACCACCATTAAACAGCTCAACCAAAGAATCACATCGGATGAAGACGCTAAACGATCTGTTCTCTATTTGCACACCACACAGCTGTGCAGAAGTTACCCTACATTTCCTGATTACGTGTTACTGTAAGTTCTCCAGCAGCCATTTAATCAAGTCCCTACCATCCTTCCCAACTCTGCATGTGCTACGCGAAGCACCATTCTGCTGTACCAGGATGCTTCAAACCTCATTTCTCACTCAGGGCCGAAGACGGTCAGTTCCTGCCACCCAGCTCGCTCTTCACAAAGCGCCATCCCCAGAACGAACCCCGCGGAATCGGTTACAGCCCCGGCTCCCGACGTTCAACCCACCGCCCGGTTTCTCCTCCCTCACACCGCCCCCACGAGAAACCTCCTCAGCCGCCGGCGCCCACCGCCCGCCCGGCGGGACTCCGGACGGGAAAGCGGCGGCCCGACCCGCCCGCGCAACCCCGAGCCCCGCGAACCTCTCCGTCCCGCCCCGGCCCCGCCGAAAGGAGACGTGGCAGCGGCCCGCCGAGAGACGCCGCTTCACGCTCGCCGCCCCGCTCCTGGCTCCGCCGCCGGTACCTGTTACTCCAGATGCCGTACAGCAGCTCCACGAAGGCGAAGGAGAGGTTGAGGCAGAGGAAGAAGAAAAGGTTGCGGGAGGTCTTGTCCGCCAGGATAGACCTAGCAGGGAGCGCACGAGGGTCACGGCCGGGTCGCCGCGAGGAGACAGCCGAAGGCGCAGCCGCTCACCCGACGGCCCCGGCATCGCCCCCTCGGCCCTCCGCGGGGGTTCGGTCGCGGGCCTGGTCCCCGCGGCGCTCCGCCCGGCGCCTTTACCTGAACCATCCCGACACCTTCCTGAGCAGGTTGAGCCGAGGCGGCTTGTACTCGTCGTCCTTAATGGAGAGGGGCAGCATGGTGCCGGGCCGCGACGAGCGGGGCCGGCGACGGGCGGGGCGGGAGGAGGCCCGCGGGCGGCCTCGGCACTCGCTTCCGGTCTGCCGCCCCGCGCCTGCGCGGCCGTGCGCCTGAGGCCGCGTCGGGGCGGGGCGCTTTTTGTCGAGGTGGCGGCGCGCTCCGGCCGCCGGGGGGCAAGGTGGCGTGGCAGCCGTTTACAAAACTCGTAAGCCGAAAGCGCCCTCTCTGCTCCCGCGCCGGCCGTCCCTCGGCGTCACGCTTACAACGCTTCCGATGCGCCGCAGTCCCGGCGCCCGCTGCTCCCGAACTGGCCGTCGCGGCGTCCCTACAGAAAGCGCCCGCCCCGCGCTGCGCCCCAGCGGGCTGCGCCCCCCGCAGGCTGCCCCACGGCCGAGTTCGCGCTGCCCGCGGCGGCCGGCAGGAAGCGCGGGCCGCCTACAGGAAGCGGGCGCGGCGGCGCTGCCGTGCTGGCGCTGCCGCCGGGCCGTCCCCGAATCGCCGGAGCGGCCGAGCTGCGGCGCCGGGCCCGGCCGTGCGGGGCTCAGCGGGTAGGCGAGGCTGCGGGGAGCTGCGGTAACGCTCTCGGAGCGAGGGTTGAGACGCTGCGCGTCGGCTTCCACATCGTGTTTGCGCCGGTTCTGGTCCGAAGGGGCGTCCCGCAGGGGCACTGTTTTGTTTTTCATTCCGCGTTACGATTTCGTAACTTAATTGTCAAAGCTGATCACGGTGCTTTCCGACTGGGAAGCACTGCAAAGCCGATTCGGCAAATTTTGTATCGACACCTAAGTAGCTACTACGAAACACAACTTCTGCTCATTATTAATATGCAATTGAGTAAGAAGATACGGAAAGCTGAAAGACTTCATTATCACAGTTAACAACGTTTAGATTTCCACGTGCTTTTACACTTGTGCTGATTGATTGTCACTGTAGTGTCATTAAGCACCGCTGGAACAGATGGAGGAAGAGAACTCAGGGCTCATCTCTGTAACTCATGTATAACAAAAGCATGCTGGGCTTGAGCAAAGTGCAGCAGCTGCTGCCAGCTGTTCCTAGGAGCACAGCACATCTGTATATACTGTAAGGCAAAGCAATCAAAACTGGGGTTAATTTCAGGAATGGTTTCAGTAACTTCTGCAGCTTCACAAATTTAAATAGTGATAGAAGTGGACCTCAGGCTCAGGAAAACATAGGAATGCTGACTGAGGGGCTGTGGGCATACATGCATTATTATGTGGGCATTCAGTCTCATCAACTACTGTGAAATCCCACATTTTAAAAACTATTAAGCAATTTCTTGCTCTCTAAATTGTCATAGTACCATTCTTAAATGAAAATACTCCCTTTCTTTGTTCAACTGGTTTTAAAAAACTAAAATTATCTCCAACGACCAAAGAAACAAATACAAGTTTATTGGGTTATTGCCCTGTATTCTTGTGTAATCCTTACTTCCTGTATTTGCACTGACTTGCTTTCCATTCTGCTACCTGGCCTACCCAGTAGGAAAAACAGGCTGTGTGCTTTAAGTCTGTAATGCACCTGGTGCATTCAGTGGGAAGAGAGCCTGAAGGGGATGGGCCAGAAACAAAGGAACCATTACTGGGACTACTTGGCTTAGTGTGGTAGCCAAATGTTTTTAATCAGTGGTTCCTGGAGAACAAAGTAATGCATTTGAGTTCTTTTCTAACCAACTGGTTTAGCAGTTTGTTTTGGGAAAGTTCGTTGACAGGCAGAGACAATTACTCATCTGAGCAATAGGAAAAGGGATTGGCTAATTGTCAAGAACATTCACTGCAATCAGTAAGCAAAAAGAATGTTAAAACAAAAAAAAATACAGAGTAGCCTGGATGTTAGCTGTTTATTGTCAATTGCAATTCCTTTTAATTTCCAGCAGATTAAAAGAACACAAACGAATGTCCTTTAAAAAACAACGGGGAGGAACCAATCCCATCTGGCAATAATGAGGTAAGTTCAGTTTTTTTAAATAATATAATTCATATCAGACACTGTCTATGCACTGTAGAAAAGAGTGATCAAAACTTGTGAAGAAACAAGAATTTTAACTGCTGAGACTGTTCTGGATCACTTCATTTAACTAGAATTCTGCAATGAAAGCCTGAAAATATAGCAGAGTAATGTGTAATGTTTACAGGTAAATAACTCCTTAGTAGTAGCTTAGAATATTTACCACATATCCAGAGCATACCAACCACACAACTAGGGGAAGAGGAACAGCTGTGAATGACACATCACTTGAGGTACTAATAGTGGGATGCAGTGACTGACAGGTCTTGCTGAGGCCTCAAGAGCTGAGACCACCTAAGAAGCCCTTAGTAGAAGAGACTACCTTTGTAGGAGCCACTTTGTAAAGTCCCCTATGTAGCTCCAGAAGCAGGGGAATCCAGAAATCCCTGCCTTCTACAACAGTGGCAAAAGGTGCCTCAGTAGGAGGCACCAGATCTCCCCTTTCCCAACTAAGGCACAGCTTGCACAGTGCTGGAATCCTGTTCAAATGTTTTCTATTTTCAGGTGGATGTGTTGGGTGAGGAGTATGAATGCTCAGTCAAATACACTACTGAAAAATTAAGAGATGGCAATCTAAAGTATTACTTTAAGTTGACTTTGTATTTTACTGTTCTGCAAAAATTAACAAAAAGTGAAAGTAAAAGGCAAGTAGACATTAGAAATTAATTACCATAAGTATCTCTCAATAGAGAAAATTGACTAAAGTCCTAAAATTCTCTTATTATATAGTTATTTGTTTACCTGAATTAGTTTTACCTAAATTACCTTAGGGTTACCTAAATTACCTTAGGGTTATGCGAACTTTGCTCAAAGAAAAAAAATATCTGTATGTGGGATTAATAAGTTTTCCTTTTCTATCACTTCTTTTAAAGGTATTTTTACCTCTGTAAGCTTCCAGGAAGAGTTATGGGAATCCACCTACTACGCTTTACTTCTGTGGTGATCATCATCTTACTTCTTGTGGCAGGAGCTTTAACAGCTTTGCTCCCCAGTATCAAAGACGACAAAATACTTAATTTTAAAAGGGAATCAAAAACCCAGAGTCAGCCTGCAGAAGACTCATTTACTCTTATCATGCAGACATATAACAGAACTGACCTACTACTAAAGCTATTAAATCATTACCAAGCCGTCCCCCATTTACATAAAGTGATTGTTGTGTGGAACAACATTGGAGAGAAGATGCCAGAAAAGATGTGGAATTCCTTAGGCCCTCATCCTGTTCCTGTTATTTTTAAAGCTCAATCTGTAAATCACATGAGGAACAGACTCCAGAACTTTCCTGAGCTGGAAACAAAAGGTAACAAGCAAGTCATCTTACTTTTAGTTGTATTTTTATACATAAAAACTATATGCTTGGTCCCACAAAGAAGCAAAATTGCTCTTTACAGGTTCTTAGCAACACCAGGTGAAGCATTTACAGATAGGCAAAAAGTAACATAAAGAAAGGGAAACTGAACTGTTAAACTCATCTAACTGCCAACAGAGCTGCTCTGACTACACAGCACACTCCAGGAAGCAGCCTAACCCTAAGAGATATTCTCTCTTTAGAGGCTGGCCCTTATATGAGCCTATGAGTTCCACCCTAGATCCACCCCTTATGGTCAGGTGAGCTGCACAGGTGCAAACAGTTTGCCTGTACTTGGGCCAGCCACACCTCTTCAGCAGGAGCCTGACCTAACAGTTCCCCTGCAGTGCTATAAAAGAGAGACAGTCTGAGTTGTGCTTTGTAGTAAACCTTGGAATTGTTGAGCTGTTTAATAGACTATAGATGATGCAAAAGTGGCTTGTGTAATAGTATTTAGGTGGTGGTTAGGATAGGATAGGATAGGATAGGATAGGATAGGATAGGATAGGATAGGATAGGATAGGATAGGATAGGATAGGATAGGATAGGATAGGATAGGATAGGATAGGAGCCTTCTAGCAAGAGTAAAAGGAGAAGATGCCTTATGCATTTTGTTGGGTTTTGCAACCATATCTGTTCTTTATTGCATTTGTTTAGTAAGGGTAAGTAGTTCAGTTTCTCTTCTTATGTTAGTGCAAACTGAAACTGATAATGTACGTGTTTTTTGAGTCTCTCAATTTAGACTGATACCATTTGTTTGATTTAATCCATTAATTTTAAGACAAGGTTCTCAATCCTGTTCTGCTATTCAGATGAACTTGTTTTCCTGCCTGTTGCATTACAGACCTAGCATTACTTGTAATTAGTAAGGGTAATTTTATTTACTGTTTTCTTCTTGACATACCTCAACCTGTGTCTGCTAGTAGGATATTAGACTTCATTTTCCCCAGTGTTGTTTTTTTTTTTTTTTTTTTTTTTTTTTGTTAATTGTCTTTTAAATGCTAATAAGATTGTGCTGACTGTAAATGTAGAGACTTTAATGTCTGTGGATTTGGGATGTAAGAATATCTTCTCTCTTCTAATAGTCTTTTATTTGTAACTTAAAGCAAAATTTTTTTTCATTTATTATTAATAGTATTAAATGTTGTTAATGCACTTTATTAAGTTTGCTTATCTAGAATTTGCAAATAGGGAGGAGGTGGGTAAAAAATTTTGTACTTAAAATTCCTTATAAACTTCATTCACTAAAGAATGGTATTTAACTTTTTAGCTGTATATTGCACAAGACTAATGAAATATTCAGATCATCAGTATAGCTTACTTGTTATAGGAACTTCATAGTTTGTCAAGTACTGCATTGCATGCTGTGCCCATGTATTTCAATCCTTTAATTAAACTTTCTTTTTCTTTAGCTGTTTTAATGATGGATGATGATACACTCGTCAGTGCTCATGACCTTACTTTTGCCTTTTCTGTTTGGCAGGTAATGTTTTCTACCTTAGCAGGCAGCATTTGTGAGTTACAATTGAGATTAATGGCTTTAATTAGAAAGAGTGGTACTATATTATAGTGTTCTACCATTGCTTTTCTTTAATTAGATTTTAAAATGCACAAAGGTTAGATAGTAGAACTTGAGGAAATATTGTTCTACATTCCTTATATTTGTAATCTGTAGTTTTCAAACTTGCAATTCTTCTTATATATGCACGCATTAGCTGCTGATTGCTGAACTTAAGTTACGAGTATGCTTCAAAACACAACCAAAAGTGTTTTCTCTAAGAGTTGATTGCCAAGTATGCAGCTGCAAATTGAAGATAGGTGTGGAATGAGGTAAATTACATCAATTTTGTAAAACTGTACTTAAATGCAATGCTCCTGTAGGTTGAAGGAGTGCATGCCAACAGTTTTGTTCTCTCTTTTCTGACTGTAAGCTTATGCTCCTCTCATTTAAAAAAAGAAAAAAAAGAAAAAGATCAAGTCCTTCATGAAAATATGTAATGTCTTTTGACTTCACAGAGTGCTCTTCATTTGTGTATTTTCAATTTCTTTTTCTTTCAGCAATTTCCAGAACGTATAGTGGGATTCATTCCTAGAAAGCACATTTCTACTCCTTCAGGTGTATACAGTTATGGCAGCTTTGAACTGCAGAACCCAGGACTTGGAAATGGAGATCAATATTCTATGGTTCTTATTGGTGCAGCGTTTTTTCACTGTAAGTATTTAGAAGACTTTCAAAGACAACCAGAAGCTGTTTACACTTTAATAGATGAAACTCAAAATTGTGATGATATTGCCATGAATTTTCTGGTAGCAAAGAATACTGGAAAGCCTTCAGGAGTGTTTGTGAAGCCCGTTGATATAAGAAATTTAGAAAAAGACACTAACAGTGGCTATTCTGGGATGTGGCACCGAGCAGAGCATTTGTTACAGAGATCTTACTGTGTAAATAAATTGGTTAATATTTATGATGGCATGCCTTTAAAATATTCTAATATAATGATTTCCCAGTTTGGGTTTCCTAATTATGCCAATCACAAAAGTAAATTATAAACCAATGATTTAAGGGGTTAGATGATGATACTCAGTGAGTTGTACCAAGTACAAGGAAAGAAAGTGTGATTACTGCATCTTGGCTCTCCTTACTTGCAGCCTCTGAGTTTCTTTCATGTGGCATTTTATGTTGTTCCCCCCTCCCACTCTTTCTTACCAATCACCAAGGGAAATTTTCAGAATTTTAAATATATATATATATCTTAATGGTTAGTCGTAATAAAATCATCTTCTTCCCACAACCTGAGAAGTGTTTACAACTAGGCCACTTCTTCGGAAACATGCAGCCAAAAATGTACCCCTATACTTCAGTGATCATAATCTGACTTTTTTATTTTTACTGTGTACCTAGCTAAGTAAACTTAGTTTTGTTTTATGTGGAGATGCTTCCCTCCCCTGCTTCCCTTCTCCTTCTCCACACATTTCCTACTGAAACTGTAAAAGGGCTACAACAAACAGACTAGGCTCCTAGATTGCTGTACAAAATTCCTTTACATCTGTATGTTCCTGAAGCTGCTGTGAAGGCAAACCAGAAGAATACCCAGTCAAAGCAGATCTCAGTCCTAAAACCATCGCATACAATATCCACTACTGCTGAGGCAGTGAAGAAGGATCTCTTTGCTACAGCTTTATTCTTATTAATAATTCTCCTAGAGTTGCTGAAACATTGTAAACAGTTGAAAGGTAAAACTTAGCAATTGGAAATGAAAGAAACACTTGAATACATAAAATATGAAAATTACATATGCAGTCAAATCCATGAGATTGTTTATCAATACTATCTTTAGTATTTAGTTTGCTTTTGGTATATTGTGTGTATCTTGTTTAAAAAAAAAAAAAAAAAAAATGCCCAAGTAAATCTTCTAAAATGTTTTCTGTACAATTGCTAATGAGAGCATGCTGCTCTACATTTCTTCTAGTTTGTACATCTTGTAATATTACAGGTCTACTTTTTTTAAAACCAGTCTTTCACATGAGCGATTACTTCTTGCTTTCTTTTATCTCTGTTTTTGGCAGCTACGACAACAGAATCAAAATGTGCAATGAATGTGTAAAACAAAGTGTTTTAAGGTACAGTGCTATGTGACAGGGCTGGACTATTATCTTTGAATTATGTGGCTCGATCAGTGGCAAGAAAGAGCTATTTTTTAATAACTTCTGTTTTATTAGAAACAATGGTAACATAGGAAAAACTTTTTTGCTGTAGCTATTTTGTGGTATCGATGAAAAACAAAAAAGCAACGTATTTTTTTTTTTTGTATCAGAAGAATAGAATCTGCCATCAAATTTGGGCTTAATCCCACCTACATCAGTTTTAATTTATTTTCAGTACCAGTTCAGAAATTGGCAATCAATAACAACTCATGTCTACAATACACCATCTACACAATTGATGTATGATTATTTTTTTAATAAGTTACCTGGACAAAAACAGTCTTTGAAAAATGTGACATTCTTACAGCTGTTTCTGGATATGGACTCTCTGAATTCCTTTCTGGAGAACAGAGGATTCTTTTGTTTTGTTATATCAGTGTCAAAGAACTTATGTTCAGTAAAGACTTCCTAATATTTCTATAAGACTTAAGGAAAAAAAGCAAGCTTCATATATCAGCTTGAAGTCTGTTCGCTTTTGTTATAAATTGTATTTACTGGGCTGTAGTGATAAGTAAAATCCGAACAGAACTATGTGAGATTTCTAGAAGTGCAACTTGACTAGCAGTAGCTTCCTGCATTTCATTCATTTATTGGTCATCTTTAATTTCTGTTCTGTGCAGTATTATCTGCTACATTTTCACTATTTTAGTTGTATTTTACCTTTTAAATTGTGAAGTGAACTGTCAACTCAGCCAAATCTTAATCTTGGGCTTTTTTTTTTTTTTTTTTTTTTTTTTTTTTTTTTTGAGGAAAAAGGGATTGTTTGGGGTTTTTTGTTTTGTCTTTTGTTGTTTTCTTTTTTAGCAGGGAGCTCTTCTGTATCAGTGAAGGAATGAATAGAAATAGAAAATCTTATATTATTCTGTAAATTTAATTTGTACCTTTGTCAAATAAAATATATTAATAGAATTCTTCTGTATTTATTTCACATAAAGTTTTGACCAAGTTTTCAGTGTTAGATGTCTGAAATAAGCTCATAAGCTCAACACATGAGCAGTACCAAGAGCTCATTTAAAAATAAAAAATATTACAGGTATTTGTTGGCATATGGTTATTTAATTTAGGTAAGGTTTATGTGTGACAACTAATAGTACAAATATATTAAAAAAAAAAAAAAACCACCACCTGAAACAAGTGAACCAAAAAGTTCAAAGATCAGGCTTCAGGTCTAGCCATTATTCATTTTGCTTAGGAACAAAAGAGATTTCTTCGTTTTAAAAACTAATGTTTTTTTTATAAGTAATGAATTTGTCCCTTGATGGTTATAGAAGTACCTTGATATTCTTTGAGATATTTTACTAGCAACTTAAATATTAACAATTTTTTTTATTGTGTTAAGAGCTTGTGTAGATGTCATTTGGAAGTATTTGGAATCTAAACATTTATCACTGCCTCTGAGTTTTCTGTAGAAATCAGTGTTTGTGTGACATGGGTTTTATAAATGGAATCTGAAATACATACTTAAGGAATCTTTTACTGAAAAAAAAAAGTCAAACTACTTTCAAATTATTGATAAGTACAATTCTGTAATTTTTAAAGAGGATTCAGTCCTGAAATTGCGATAAGGCTACAAGATTGCTTCTATAGTTTTAAAAAAAAAAAAAAAAAAAAGCCACAAGATGTCACTGTAGGCTTGATCAAATGTTAGAAATAGCATTTGGAAGTGATTATAATGAAAAGTATGAGGTGAAAACATTCTGAAAGCATTTTAAAAGGCTTAGTCATACTATAAAAGCTAAGAGGAAATGCTACAACTAAAAATCCATTACTATTTAGTACATATTCACAGGGGAGAAGAGAGACTAAGTACTTATGTGCTTAAAATGTATCTAATTGCCACTAACTGTATCTGCATGCAACCAAAGGAATGTTCGTGATCTTGCTGAAGACATGCAAGCCATCTGTGAGAACAGTTTTTGATAGTGGGACTTCAGTTGCTAGCTGTGTACAAACATATATGTAATCCAGATATACCAACCTAGCTAAGATGCATTTGCAAAGAATAGCACTAAACTAGCTTCAGATTCTAGATACTGGGTATGAACCTTGTTACATTGTTCCATCTTTCCTTCTATTGGCAAAGGTACCTCAATTGAAGTTCCTCTGAGTGTGATCATATGTACTCTCAACACATAGTGTGGCATGTGCTTAGAAATGTATGTTGCACTGACTTGTAGAGTAAGGGGGATGCTAGGGAGGTATGGTTATGAATCTGCTCCTTAGAGAATTTCTACCCCAAGACCTTGATTGTGAATGAAGTATGGAGTATGTGATTTATTTAAGGATAAAAGTGGAAGAGAGACGCATATTAAAGGATGAGCACGTTGATTTACATGACAAGCAAACAATACCCCACAACAACCTTTTTCAACTTACTTCTAACACATGACTATGGCCTTGCAAGCATCTTCCACAAAAGAGTACTTAGAGTGATGTTCCTTACCTAAGTTCATGGAGGTTCAAAGAGAATCATATTTGTGTTCTGGAGCTATGAAGAAAAAAAAAAAAAAAAAAGTGTAGGAATGAAGATATGAATTATTAGAGTAGTGCCAAAAATAAGTAAGCAATTGTGAAACTAATAAATGCATGAGAAGTGCTTCCTGTAGTATTTAAGAACAGATTAAAAACGGAAGAGGGGAGTGCTTTGCAGTGCTGTTTGGCCTCACCTGCAGCACATAGAAGGGTATGAAATGGCAGTAACAATTGTTTTTGTTACAAAAAGTGGTGGCAACAACACAGAGCTCAGTAGGACTTTATGTTGTAATGTCTTTTTAAGGTATTTCTTTTATTTGGGGAAGAGCAGCATCCTTTTTTCTTATGAGAGCAGGTCTCCTGTGCCGCTCTCTGGTGTTTGGGTGTGGGGATGAGCTGTCTGTGGCACTCACAGGCTCCTTCTGAAGAGGTGGGTGGAGGAAAGGCTCTTCTAACGGAATGCTTTTAAAAGGCGGTTATTCAGCAGTTGGTTAATTAAATTATAGGCTTGTTCAGCTATTGAGATTCAACCCCCAGAAGTCAATCTTTCACTTAAAAAAAAAAAACCTAGCGTAGTGTTACCACAGACTTAGCAGCGTGTGCAAAATGTCTTGCCGCTGCGTAGCTTCTCAGTGAAAGGGAATCCCGCCCCAACGTGTTAGGAGTTCTACACGCTAAGGCTGCGGTGCCCTCAGGGCCCCGTTCCCGCCTCGGAGCTCCTCACACACTGCGCGGACCGCGGCGATCCCCGGAGGCGGGAAGGGGCGCTGTCGAGGTGATACGCGCCCGAGGGGCGCGGCCGGGAGCAGCCCTTTCTTCAGTGTGCGCCGCTCATAGGCAGGAGAGTTGGGAAGGCAGCGTGTGATTGGTGGGTCTGCCTGTCCATCAGACGAGAAGGTAGCGCCTGCCGGGCCCGGGCTTCGCAAACATGGGTCCCAGCTCGGGGTGTGAGGAAAGGGCTCTCCTGGCCCCGCGCGGTACTTCCCTATGCCCCTTCCTGCACCGAGGCGGCTTTTGCCCGGCCCTTCGGCTCGCTCACGTCCACTCCTCGCCGGGGAGATACTAGCTCGGCTCGCCCCCCGCCGTCTCAGATCTCTCGAGCCGCGTACCGGAGCACTGTGTTTCTTCGGGCCGCTCCGCAGAGCGCAGCCCCGGGGCAAGGAAGGAGCAGAAAGGAGCGCCGCGGGGCGCGGGGGCGCCGTCCGGGGTCGAGGCTGGCCGCACTCCAGCGGGACGCGGGCGGAGGGCGGGGCCGTGCCTGGCGAACCCGGGGAGCTGAGAGGCGGAGGGCGGGGCCGGGGGGGCCGAGGGGGATGCCCGCCCACCTCGGTCCCGGCCGGCGGAGACAAAGGCTCGGGATCGCCGTCGCCACAGCGCCGCCGGTCGCCTGGTAACCGCCTGCGGCCGCTTTGTCCGGGGGGCGGCTCCCAGCTGGCCGGGGTGGAGCTGAGGTCCCTGCGGGCTATCGCCCGCCCGGCGGCTCGCCGCGTCCCGGAGCCGGCTCTCGCCCCCGCTCCAGTTCCTATGCGGGTGGCGGCGCTCCCGGCAGCGTGGCCCGTGGCGGGCGGTTCCTCTGGGCGGCGGGTCGCGTCCCTGCGAGCGCGCCTCGGCGCTGCCCCGGAGCGCCATGAGCTCGGAGCCGCCCCGCGCCTCGCTGCTCCGCGCCCTGTTTAAGATGGAGCCGGCGGCGGCCGCCTCCGAAGTGCTGGGGGGAGCCTCCGAGTTCGTGAAAGGTGAGAGCGGGGGCTGTGCTGTGCTGCGTTGTGCTGCGCTGCCTCCGCTGCCTCCCTCGGGCCCCCTCCCCTTCCTCCCGCCGCTCTGCGCACTTGGCCGTCTCCGTCGGTCCCTTGTGCCTCGCGGTTCTCCTGAGCCGCCCGCCCCGCTGCCGCTGTGTGGAACGCCTCAGTAGTTTTTCCTCCGCTGCTTTCGGCGGGTTGCGGGTCGGCACCTGTTGCTCAGCGGCGCCTTGAGCGGGGCCCGAGGCGGCTCCCGAAGAGGCCCGACGCAGCGGGAGCCCCGGGCCGCTCTGCGCAACGCGGCCGTCCGCTGTTTTTCAGATCGCCTCTACTTCGCTACTTTGCGGAATAAGCCCAAAAGTACGGCGAACACCCACTACTTCTGTACTGACGACGAACTGGTCTATGAGAAGTAAGTGTTAAACGGCTTTTTTGGTTTAAATAATAATAATAAAAAAATCTAAAAATCCTCCGGAGCTACTAAAATAAGTCCAAGCGGTGGCTGAGCAGTTGCGTCGTAGCCGATCTAGGGCAGAGGGTATCTGCGCTGTCAAGCTCTATTATAAGTTGGAGAAGACCTCTTAGGACTAATTACATCTTATTAAATGGTGTCTTAAATAGAAGGTTGCTTGGTGTGACTGCGTGTGAAAAGACAGATCGTTCTTGTGTTCTCCTGTAGCCAGAGTATGAAGTGATCACCTTTCCTGCAAAATCATCCAAATGCAAAACTTTGATTTGTGTTTGAATCACATCTGCAACTTATTTCAAAGTTTTTAGATAGCGCTTCCTGTTGGCTCTTGTAGCTTTTTAAAACAGAAGAGAAAGCATTATGTGAAGTAACAGCTTCTACTGCCTGGAAGACACTGAAAGAGCAGGAAATCAACAGTTAATTTGATTGTGGGTGGAGTTCTACAAAGAAACATGAAATATACACAAAACAAAGTAATAGCTCTGTGCTGTAGTTACAAAGTCATTGCTCTAGATTATCTTCTCAGATAGCTATTCTGCGCAGTCTACCACCTGACAGAGGGTTTACACTATATAGTATTTCTAGAGGGACAAAAAGAAATCCTTTCATGAAAAATGCAACTTTTTTTTCCCCGTGGGTTTAAGAGTATCAACCACATCCTATCCCTGTGACTTCAGTGCTGCTTTTGTGAAGGTGCATAGTAGTTTTCCTCAATTTGTGGCTTATCTTCTATGCAAAGATTACAGTTCTAGGTTGTGGTTTGCTTTTTTTTTTTTTAAACATGCAATTTGAATCTTCATTGTCTTCAGCTGTCTATTTTGTAGTGGAGCTCCTGATGATCCTTTCTCAAAGTTAACATTTGTAGCTTCCTGTTTGGGTTGGAGATGTTTTATGTAACAGTCATTGAAGCAAATTCAATAAATGTACCCCTTAATCCACGTATCAGCTAACCGTGCAGCAGAATAAACAAGATAAAGAAGTCTTTGCTTTCTTCTATTATCTTCTAGGGTGTATTTAAGACTTTAAGCATGTAACTTGTGGTATGCTTTCTGAGTGGACACTTTGTAGTCTATTGGGACGCTTTCTAAAGGTATCCTATTTTTTATATAGTAACAGCACTCATCCTGTTGTATTCTCAAAATAGTAAAATGTAATATGAAGTAGAAACTAAGTGACAGTTGTCAGGTGGCATGAATGCATCTGTATAATAACCTAGCTCTTCTAGATAAGCA